TGAAATATTGGATTAGAGGTGAGAGAAATTAAATTGACATTGTCACACCAAATAAGTGGAGCTTTAGGTAGAAAGATGTGAAGATCTCATAAGAGTTGCCTTAACTAAGAAATTTTTGCAGCTGTGTGGGCAAGTTGTTGATATTCAGCTTTAGTGCTAGATCGAGATACAGTTGGTTGCTTCTTAAAACTCCATGAAATAAGGTTACGCCTAAGATATAGACAATATCCTCTAGTAGATCTTCTATCAGTAAGACAACCCACATAATCAGCATCTAAATAGGCTTTTAATTGTAAATCACTTGGTGTGAAGAGTAATCCATCATTGATTGTGCCTTTGATATATCGAGAATTCATTTAACAGCGGTCTAATGAACAACAATCGGACGATGCATAAATTGGCAAACTTGATTCACTGCATATGCTAAATCAGGACGAGTGATTGTGAGATATTGCAATACACCAATAACACTCCGAAATTCTGTTGGATCATCCAGAAACTCACCATTATATGGCTCTAACTTCTTGCCACTAACAGATGGCCTGATTGCTATATGGCTTTGCATTCTCCATTTGAACACGTTTCAACAAATCAATTGCATATTTTCTTTGTGTAAGATAAGAGACCCTCCTTGGTGTAGTCAGCTTCAAATCCAAGAAAATAATGCAAATGCCCTAAATTTTGCATTGTAAAAATTTTCCCAAGAGATGAAATCAAATTATCAATCTAAGAAGTACTATTGCCGGTGATGAGAATGTCATCAACATAGATTAATAAAATGAGAAGAATTCCTTGATAAACGCCGAATATTGCATATTCAAGCGCTCTTATTTACATTAGTTAAGTCCATTATTTGATCTTTTTGAATAGATTATTTTCAGTTTCGTGTTTTTATGTATTTTCAGGTTTGTTTCCCAAAAAGAAATAAAATGGAAGTTTTAAAGGCTTTTTGAAGATCAAGGCATTCTAGGCCTTTGCATCCTATGATTTCCAAGAGGAATTTGCCAAATTGTGCTCATAGGGACTCTCTACAAAACAAAAGGGCGGAGGATGGACTCAATGACTTAAAACCAAGATCAAGGTGATAGAGGATCAAAAGCTTGAAGAATTGAAAGTAGTGAAAGAAGTTCAAAGCAGGAGAAAGGAGAATAAATTCTAAGGCATGGACGAGCGCTCATCCAAAGCCTTATGAGCACTCGTCCGGTATTCATGAGCATCTGGCGCGCGTCCCATGTCACACGAGCACTCGTCCCTCGTACGAGCGCTCCAATTCAAGGCAGAGAGAAAAAATGCACTTACGAGCGCTCGTCCCTTCAATTACGAGCCCTCGTCTATGCAGCTCCGAACCAATGAGAATAATTCTAAGGCGTGGACGAGCGCTCGTCCAGGCATTACAGAATCAGCTAGCTTTTTGAACTTTTTAATTGGATTCCCTCCTTAATTGGGTTGTTGGTAAAATACTTTTAAGGGACATGGACCTTGGTTTTGAGGAGGTTTGGTAGACATCTTGTCTATATGAGAAGGGTTGATGATTGTAAAACACATTATTGGGTGGTTAGAGGATTATTTTCTAGAGAGAAATATTGTGCTCTTGAGTTCTTTGGTTGCATTTTTGGCTGAGGGTGCGAAAATGGAAAGAAGGAGGGCTTCAACCTTTTCCTCCCTTGTTTCTATGTCTAACTAACTCCCTTTCTAGGGACGTGATGAAGCCTTTCTTTGTAAGCATGCTCTAGTTTTGGTTTTAATTTAGGGAATGAAGTTTGTATATGGTAGTTTCGTAATCTAGAGACTTACACATGTTGTAATGGTTTTTCCTTTCTATAAATGATTATGTTGAATTGGTTATCTTATCTTAGATTGTATTTTCTCATGATCATATGGCTTGCATCTTCATAGTGAGAATGGAGATAAGATTATGAAATGGCTTTTAATGGCATGTTGTATGAGAAGTTTGATAGTCCATAGCTTAGGGCCTCCCTTTAATGGATTATTTTTGGTTTTTGACTTCATGTGCTATTATCATATTCTTTTTTGAGGAGTTTGATAGTCCCTAGCTTAGTGAGCATGTCAAAACCTACACCTTAGTTTAGGTAGTTCAAGCATGTAAAACTTTGATGGATTATACTTACTTCTTAATTTTATGAGCTTATTGAATATAATTTAGCAATCATGTATTGCTACATATCATGGACATATACCTAAGTTGTTTTCCAAGTTAATCATAAGCAAGCATGTTTATATGGTTGGTAGTGGATTCACTTCCTTAGCCCACTGTACATAAGTTTAATTCATTTTCAATTCCTTCCATTTACTGTTTTACGCAAATTTCATTTCCAAGTTCTAAATGACAAACAAAACAAACCTTACACCTCTTTCATCAAACAAAGTGATTTGACAACCTTGGTTGCCATAAACTAGCAATCCCTATGGTTCGACTTACTCTTACGATAGCCCTATTTTACAATGATTTGTGCTGTTACAAGTATTGATTATTATTGGTAAATATTTCAACCGACCATGCCTTTTTGTTGATAAACAAATAGTGAACAATTTGCTTTGGAAGTGACAAAACCAAATTCTTCAAGATAGTCAGAAAGTCGTTGAAACCATACACGAAGAGCCTGTTTCAAGCCATATATTGATTTGCGAAGGCGACATACATGATTAGGAAAAGTAAGGTCTTCAAATCCTTTTGGTTGACGCATGTAAACTTCTTCATTTAGATAGCTATGTAAAACTACATTTTGTACATCAAGTTGCTGAATGTGCTAATTATGATGCATAGCTAATGCCAAAACTATGCGAATGGTAGCATGTTTCACAACTGGACTAAAAATTTCAGTATAATCAATTCCCTTTTGCTGATGAAAACCATTTGCAACAAGTCGAGCCTTATATTGTTCAATCGATCCATCTAATTTACGCTTTACTTTAAACACCCATTTATTTGGAATAATATGCATGGATGGTGTAGGAAACACTAAACTCCAAGTACCAACTTGTTGTAAAGCATTAAATTCAGTGCACATTGCCATTCGCCATTGAGGGTCTTTGATAGCTTGACTGAAACATAATAGCCCAAGGTGATTATCAGAAAAAGTAACTAGCAATGCACACTTTGGATTAGGCTTTCGAATTCCAGCTTAACCTCTTGTTACCATTTGATGTGAGGGAGAAGGCTCGGATGGTAAAAGTGGATCATGAATTGGAGAAGAATGACTGATAGATAATTGTGGAGATTTAATAGGACAGGTTGACATAGGTGAAGAAATTGATTCAAGATGTGAAAGTAAAGGTGTTGTAGTTGATGTTATAATGGAAGGTTGAATAGTATGAGGTGAAATTGGTGTAACAGAAGGTGGTGGAAATAAAAGAACCGATGAAGATGCTTCCTTTGGCCATTGTGAAATAGGCAAAACCTATTCAAGTTTAAAAGGAAATTGACACTCATTAAAAATAACATGTTGAGACAAATAAATCCATCCAGTGTCCTTGTCATAACATTTATAGCCTTGATGATTATGAGAGTATCCCAAGAAAACACTTTGGATTGGAATTGAAGGTTATTTTTATTATAAAGATGAAGATATGGAAAACATGCACAACTAAATACACGAAGAAATGAATAGTTTGAGATGGTATATCGGCTTAAACTAACATTGTTAGACATATCTCTGTTATATGACGAATTTTTCGTTCTGAAACACCATTTTGTTCTGGAGTAGAAGGACAAGAAAAACGATGAAGAACTCTATGAAGAGAAAGAAAATCCTGAAATGTACCCTTACAATACTCACCTCCACCATCAGTTTGTAGCGATTTAATTTTACATGAGAAAAGATTTTCAACAAATGCTTTGTATTTAACAAAATAACCAAACGCCTCATGTTTAAAATGCATAGGATAAATCCATGTGTATTTGGAAAAGTCATTGATGGCAATAATTTGTTATCACTTAAAATCACCACTTGCAATAGCACATATATCAATGTATAAAAGGGCTATTATAAGGGTTTGTCGGACCAGAAGGATTGCTAGTTTTTGGTAACCAAAGTTGTAAAATCACTTTTTAGTTTGATAAAAGAGATGATAATTTGATTGAGATGTCACTTTAAACTACGAATTGAAATTGCATAAAATTAGTAAATAAAATGGATTTAAATGAATTAAACTTATAGAGATAAAGACTATGGAATTGACTTCACCAAAACCTCATCAACATGCTAACTTACATTCAACTTGGGGATAAACAACTATGTATATAAAACGATGTGTAGAAGTATAAAACAACCATAACATCTTCCAGAAATTCATACATTTCAGAACTAAGCATAACCCATCTTTGGTTGGAATGGTTCATCTACCTAAACTAAGCTGTGGTATGAACCATCTTCCCTAGGCATGGCCTATCAAGGTCCTTCAATTGTATGTTGAAGCATATGAAATTCAATTATTTATCATGAATTATTTTCAGTAGGTATGGACCATCTACCTAACATAAATTAACTTAAAGGTGTAGCATGATCCATCTTCCTTAAGTATAATTTATACAAATTCTCAATTAACATGCCAATATATTTTTTTTCCTAATTGAAGAGAAAATTTTATAAAATGAACAAAAAGTACAAATCAAACAGTGAGGGCATACTCTCACTAAACACAATCCTTAAAAAAGGATGATACCTTAAGAATAGAAAAACCCTATCCAAAAAGAAAAACTAAAACAAGGCTAAGACATCTTGAAGACAGACCACTACGACATCCAAAACCTCCCAAACAATGCTTTTAAAAAGTACTCGAGTATGTCTAATAACATCATTATGTGTCCTGCCGTTTCTTTCACTCCATATAAAATACAAAGTTGCAGAAAAAATCATCCTACTTAATTTATTCCTTCATGAATTGACTGGAAATTGCTATGCCAAATCCAAAGCAAAACCACGAACAGTATGCTCCCTTCGAACACTCCACTTAAACATATCAGCAACATCACACCAAATCTACCAAGCATACTCACATTCCACAAACAAATGATCCACAGATTCTTTATGATTATAGCATAAACAACATCTAGAAGCAAGTGAGATACCCCTTCTTTGAACATTTGAAGCAGTTAGAACTGAGTTTTGTAAAATAAGAACACCTAAAACAGCCCACCTCGGCCGACCACTAGTCCATATTAAAGACAACCAGAACACCTCCGGTTTAGATAACCTACAGGCCTCCCATGCTACTTTGTATGTAAACACATTGTGCTGCCAGAGAATAGTATCTTCCCCTCTATAAATTTTGAATTGTTGGATGTAATTCTGAATTTGTAAAGGAATATCAACAAACTGCCACTGACCTTGTAGCAGAAATTTACTTAAAGCCGTACTCTTATCAGTAGCCAAAGCTCTGAGAGATCTAAAACTGAATTCTTTAGAAAGAAATTTACCATCACACCATGGATCGAGAAACAACTTGATCGTCTCACCATCACCAATACGGAATCTGCAATTTGTCTTCAAAATCTCCCTTAAAGCCACAATGCTCTTCCAAATAATAGAATGAGTTGCTCTAGGAACAACAGACCAATAAGTAGCTTTCTTCAAATTCCTCTGTTTATACCAAGCCACCTATAATCTATCCTTTGATAGTATAAATTCCCATGCCAAAATGCATTTAGCAGCTATATCAATGTCAATCAGCTTTTGTATGCCTAGACCACCTTTAGATTTTGGAGTAGATAGCTTCTTCCAACATAAACCATGGAGTTTATAAGATTGAGTATTGTGACCCCAAACAAAATTTTGCATTCTTCTCTCTAAAATATTAACAACAGCTGCTGGAATAGAATAGTAGAAGTCCAGTACAATACCATAGGAGTAATAACAGATCTAATCAATTCCACTCTCCCAGCCATCGATAGATTCATACCAGCCCATCTTGTGGTAGCTGCTTCAACCTTTTCAATCAAAGGTTTACAATCCAATCTCTTCAAACCTCTATCAGAAATAGGAACACCTAAATAAGTGAAAGGAATATTTCCTTGTTTACATCCAAGAATTCTAAGGATCATAGATTTTCTTCTCACTGATCTTGTAAAAAAAAACCTCAGACTTATCACCATTAATAGCCAAACCAGAAGCTGATTCAAATTAACATGCTAATATAACCATTTCATTAATTCATTTCCATTGTCACAATAGGAATATCAAGTGCATAATTGTGTCAATATGATTTCTAAGACAAGATAAACATATCAACATAATCATATATTCAAATGAAGATCACATACATTAATTCAATGTAAAAACCACTAAAAGAAAAACAGCTTTTTACCACGTACTTTTTACCACAGTTTTAAAAAAATCATAGTAGAAGATCTTTTCTTCTACGGTTAATCTTTTCTATTACGGTTTTAGAATAACCGTAGCAGAAAGTATATTTTTTATCACAATTATTTTAAAATTGTGGTAGAAAAAATCTTCTACCACAATTGAGAGATAACCGTGATAAAAAATTGTCTTTCTACCACGATTATGCATGAATCGTGGTAAGAAGAATGCCCCGTCTATCACGGTTTCGCATAAACCATGGTAGAAAGTAAAAATTTTCCCCGCTCACCGCGTGGGTATTATTCCCTCCAGTAATTGACGAAAACAAAATGAAAAAATTAAAAATTAAAAACCAACATATAACACAAATTTACGACTCAACAGACCTAACTCAAATATCTGTCTTCGAAAAAAAGCCCTTACACAAAAATCTTCTTTGATCTGTACATCTCGCAGTAAAGGGGCTTTCCATCGTCGTCTAGATCTCTGTCTCCGGTCACCATCGTCGTCTAGATCTCTGTCTCTCCGGTCGCCATCATCGTCTCTGTCTCCGGTCGCCATCGTCATCTCTCTCCGGTGACCGTCGTCATCTCTGTATCCGGTCACCATAGAAGGGACCCCTAAACCCTAAATGATAACACACTGCTCAGAAAGAAGTCACTAAATCCGGAGATTGGGTTTTTTAATTTCGCTCTCAGTAAAAAATATTAGGTATGTAATATCTTCCCTTGCACACACAGTCTTGATTTCATTAGCTATGTCACATACATTCTAGATGACAAACCAATTGTAAAGAAGATTTTTAAATTTGACAGACTTTGACTCGTTCATGATAGCCACTACTTGTGTAAAATTGGGGAATTGCCCCTCCTGTACCTCAATCATCCTAATCCCCCTCCTTATGACTTAAGGAATGATCTCCTTTATTTGGGGATTTGATGTTTTGCATGGTGCGGACAGGTTGTGAGGCCGAGCAATAAATTTTATTTTATGGTTAATCATTTTTATTTTCATTTTCCCCATAATCTTAGGATTTTCTTAGAAACATTTATTATATTTTTTTTTCTCTCGAAATCTAAGGTTTATTTTAGCTAGATGAAGCAGAAAGTTCAATTTTTCCTCCATTAGCAATATAGTGGCGCTGGTATCTTACATTTGTTCAATTCTTCATATTTTGTGCAAATATTGTTCGAATGCTCTGAAAAATATATTGACATTTTGTGCAAATACTGTTCGAATGCCTGTGTAGTCTTCTTCTTGTTGTTGCACTAGTTGCTGACGTTAACTGCTTTTAGTGGTTGTATATCTAACTATTGACCTCTAATTGCATGAAATTTTCTTACAAAAATTTAATATATACACGTAAGTAATTAAAAAAATCTTTCCCTTAAGCTATTTCTTGCCTCTCCCGTCTTTAGGAATGCGGGCCGGTCTACTTGTTCATGAGAAAACTAAACCCCCTAAGCTGTCCATCCAGCCCAGTTAAGGCCATCCATTTCTTCAATTCTACAATTGGTGATGGTTTCTCATAACTGTATTCCTCCATATGATTCCTATAGGAACTATTCAATATTCACATCTTCTGTTTTTCCCTTCATTTTGTAAATTTTCACCATGATTTGGTGTTCAAACTTTCAATCAAATTCTCATGGGCTGTTATTGAAATTATAGTTCTGAATACTTTTTAGCTCATAAAGAGGAATGTATGTTGTAGTTTTTAGAATTATTTATGTTCACGACTTTTTGACTATTTCAAGTCTATTTTTTGATAATTTGATTGTAAAAAATACTTAACTGTTGATTTATATCTGGCTTTTGTAGATCATAGGAAAAGCAAATAAAATTGGGGTGGGACCAAAAAAAGTAAGTGACAGGTACATCAATGAGTATCATGGTAACATGAAACAAATTCAGTGCCTTCCTCCTACAGAAGAGCCAGGGGTAACTGATCATATAGAGCAGATAAAAAACATGATCCATTAGGTGATTCTCTTCTTATCATCATTCTTTGTCTTTCTGAAATACCTGGAAAATCAGGAGTTCTAAAAATAAAATCGGATGAATCGGGTATTTCAAAATGGAAAAATGATGAATTTCTATGTCAAATAGAGCAAGTAATTGTTCACCTCTTAGGAGGATTATCTATTTCTTGTATTGTGGAAATAAACCAAGGTAGGCTACTGTATCTCATTGCTTAAACCACATTTGTGACTGTAACTGTGGAAGAGAGCTAAGGTAGACAAACTTTTACATATAGTTTCTTATCTTGAGGTTATGGTGGTATATTTTTCTTATTGAAGTTGTTTATGCAGGTTTGTCTTCACATTTGCCCTAGGTGCTGGACCAGTCCCTAGTCTCCTCCTATCAGAAACATTCCCTAACCGAATTAGAGCAAAGGCAATGGCAATCTACATGGCAATGCACTGGGTAAGTGGATAATTGTGTTATGCAATTTATTCTGTCACTGGTATTGGTATTTCATTTTTTTCCTTTCAGTGTGTGAACGGCAATTTAATTCCAACTTTTTGAAGATTTCTTAAAAATAAAGTCTTCTACCTTTGAATTTCTGTTCAATGTTGAATCCCGATGATCACTTCTCAAACTGTGAACCACAACTTTGAACTTAGGAGTTGAATTTGTTCATGCTTATAAACTATGAACCAAAGATATCCCTTGTTAAATAATTAAAATTTTCTAAAGAAACATATACCCATTCAAGCTATTTCTAACTTTCATAGTTGCATGAATCTAAAACTATGTCCACGAATCAATTTTATTTACTGGATAGTTGCAACCAAATGTAAAATTATATATGTTGTGGCTATTGCTTGGGACTGGTAAAAACTCAGGCTAACAAGTGTAGACATGGATTCGAGTTTGATAGCAGCAGCTTTAAGAAAAATAACGTCAAAGGTTAAATCTGTCTCCATTCAACCCCAGATTTCTAAGTAACTGGACCAGCACTACATAATGGCCTTTTTGCATTGGGCATATCAAGACCTAGAGCAAGAAAGGCATTCCTACTTATTTAATATTTTTAAGCTACTAAGTTGATTGTAAATAAGTAGAACTCCCTACTTCACTTAAACTAAATAAACGCAAGGAAAACAGAAAAGTGATGCATAAAAGTTCAAGAAGTCTCAAGAGTGGGCATTTGTCTAACTCCAATTTCAACTGTAAACTTATAAAAATCTGATTTTCATATCCATAGCATAACTAAAATTTCTCAAAACTCCCAAAAAATAATTTACATTGTTGTTTATTGAAGGGGCAAAAAAAGAAAATGATAAGACAGCATTACTTGTTCTTCTAATTCTTTCAAATAGGCTGATTTATTTCCAATCCCATTAATCAGCTTAACATGCAATGCCTGCAAGGATAAACAAAGAAAACTAGTCATTCTCTATAGAGTGACACTTAAAAATCATGCCAAATCAGTCAAGGTATGAATGGGTGATGAAAAGGATTGAGTAGGATGGTGATAAGAAAAATGGGACAAGAACAGGTCCCATCCTCTATGGAAGTTACGAAAACCCAGCTTACAAATATAGAGGATAGACTAATAAAATTGTGAAGCAATTGATAAGAACTTATGATATGACAAATAATGAACTCTTATCCCAACCTTAAGCTGTTCCAAATCCTTCACATCTGTATTCTGAAGTCCCTTCCACCAAATTGCCTTTTTGTCTTTCGCAATAATATCCAGTGCCATAAGGACATTCAATGCATCATATACTCGTCGTCTTATATTCTTCTCATCAGACTGAAACATTCAGTGGTTCACTTCTCAGCATACACAAGAAGTTAACATAATAATAGCAGTGTAAAAAGGTTAAACTCTAGGGTTGATCAAACCTCATTGAATGAATTATTATAAGATAAAACATAATCATACACAGAGGCAATAACAGTAATCTAAATGAACTGGAAGAGAAGGCCGATCAGAATAACAGGAGAAGTGAGAAGAAGAAGAACAACAAATAGAGATTTTTAGGGAGAAACCTTAATACTAGTGTGATAAATCCTAAAGACATCGAAGCACATATAAGGGCAAACCCTAGACAAACCTAATAAAAAATTTAGCAACCTCAGGGGGGTCACGTGCCTTTAAGTGACCAATTTTGCGGTGTATAGGGGGTCACGTGCCTTAAGTGACCATTTTTTTTTTTTTAATCTGAACATATCATATGATGGAATTTCACTCTGTCTTCGAGTACTTTCAATCACCTATTAAATAAGCCATGCTTAAGCTTTAATCCTGTGACTATTTCCTTGACACACTGAACTTGCTTTGCTTGAGTTAAGACCATGTTAATACTTGCTTTACTTGAGTTAATACGAAGAGTAGATCATTCAAAGTACCTTTATTATAATACTTGCTTTGCTTTGTTTAATTTCAACTTTACAAACTTGTTTTGCTTGGTTTAATTTTGGCAACTTTACAACTTGCTTTATATATATTTTTTTTCCTAAATAACTTGTTTTATATTAATTCTCTTACTTCAACTATTACATCTTTGTAGGTCAAAGTTAGGATTGCGGGTCACGGTTGACGTTACTTTTTTTGTTGCCGCTATATTTTTTGTTTGGCTCATGTAGAAGTTTCAAGAACATATGAAGAATTTTTATTTTATTTTAGTTAAGTAAATATATAAGGTGTGGATCATGTACTTCTTTGAAATTTGTATATGATTAATTTTTGTCTAAAACAATGACTTGGATTTGGTTATATATATATATATGATATTATTGGTCAGTTGTAAATTATTTTGGTTTTGATTTATTTTTTATTTATTTAGGGTTTGCTTCCGGGGTTCTTGCAAGGCTAGTAGTAAAAAAAGGCTTCATAAGGGCTAAACTATTATGTTTTTTTAAAAATTATATAACACTTTCTACCATGGTTTTGCACCGTGATAGAAAGTCTTTCTTTCTACCGCGGTTCCCCACCGTGGTAGAAAATAAAATTTCTACCACGGTTCAAAACTGTGATAGAAAGTCGACTTTCTACCACGGTGCAAAACCGTGGTAGAAAGTCTCAACTTTTTACCACGGTTGTTCAAAACCGTGGTAGAAAGCCTTTTCCACCGTAGTAAAAAGTCATTTTTTTTTTTAGTGAACAAAACAATTCAATGTAAACAACTTCTAATTTATGAAATCACATATATATAAGATGAATTCCCAAATTGAAAAGACAATTATAACATGTTTACTTGGTTTAGGTTACATCAACTCCCTAGGAAGGAAGTTAGTTTCTCATGGACATGGCAGCAGCTTCAAGGATTAAAGAATAAGAAGATTTCCTCTACAACCCCATTGTTGCAAAACTTAACATAAAACCTAAGAAAATCCCTTCTCTCCGCAAAATATTTTTCAATAATAATAATAATAATGATTCTAATACAAGCCTTTTGCCCCCTCTTAATCCCAAAATGGGCTGCCAAACAACCCCAACCCGTTGAAATTCAAATTCCCTAGTAGAAGGGAACAAACTTTGACCAAATCAAAGTGGGGACCCGTAGGCTGGCGTCCGGACGCATGATTTGGCGTCCAAATGCGAGGTGAAGTGCATGGCGTCTGAACTCAGGATTTGGCATCCGAACGCGAGGTGATTAAATGTCTTAGCCCAAATGCAACTGTTTTGCATTTCTTCAGCTTTGGACCATTGAGTCCTTCTTCATCCAAATGCATTGCTAAGAGTTTCCATAGGTACATTGGAACCTCTTTTCTTGACTAGCCGTAGATGTTAAAACCCGGAATGCATTTGATCTTCAAAAACTCTTAAAGTCTTCTTTTTATTTTTTTTTGGAGAGTATACCTGAAAATAGACAAGAACACAAAAATGAAGATAATCTATATACAAAGACCAAATAATGGACTTAACTAATGTAATTAAGGGCGTTTGAATATACAATATTCTGTGTTTATCAGTCATCAACAAAGAGAATATAATAATTGGATCCTTGAAGAGAATAAGATGGAGAAGTCCATACATCAGAATGAACTAATTCCAAAGGCATAGAAGAAACTAAAGTAGAAAATGAAAAAGGCAAGCGGGCACTTTTACCTAAGGGACACGAATCACACAATGCTTTATTCTTCGTTGAATCTTACACAAGTAAGGAATTAGTAGATAACAAATGATACAGTATTGGAGATGCTGGATGACCCAAACATTGATGCCAAATTGGAGTTGATACTATTTCCCCTACAACTACAAAAGCTCTTTTATTTGGAGTACCACAAGGAAGTTGAAGAGGGATAAAACCATTTTCACTCTTGCCGCATAAAAGCATCTTCCCCGTTTTGGTGTCCTTTACACAAAAACACCATCAGCATTAGAAACAAAGGAACAATCATTATCCGAAGAAAATTGATGAACGAATAGCAAATTTTGTGAAATGGATGGACAATGTAAGATATTATTGAGATAAAACTGAGAGGAACTATGGTTAAATGTAGTAAAACCAATGTGATTTATTTTCAAACCTCATTACCAACTGCAACATGCTCTGATCCTTGGAACTCATCATGTATGGAGAGATTGGCAAGATCAGATGTGATTTGAGTAGAAGCTCTACTATTAGTAATCCAAGTTTGATTATTTGATGGAGAAAAAGTTGAAGCTGCCATTGGTACAAGTTGCTTTGTTGGAACATGCCCTTCATATGAGTGGTCTATTCTATGGTAGCAATTAATTGCTGAATGTCCCATTCGGCCACAGATTTGGCAAGTAGGCCGTGTTTGATTAGGAGTAGAAGATGAGACATTTGTAGATGACCAAGAAGAGCCTATATGATATGGTGAATTTGAGTTCTTCACTTGTGGTGAACTACCACCATTACGATTTGAGGAGAAAAACTACCGGTAAGAGTTTGAGTAGAAGAACCACCATTCTTGCCTTTGCAAATTGTGTAAAATGTTGTGGCTATTTGCTCAATAGGAAGAACATTTTGTTCCTCAAGTCGCATTTCCGCACTCAAAAGAAGTCCAACAAGATCATCCAAAGAAATGCGTGTTTCTCTGGCTTGAGCAGAGTTAACCGTAAATTCATAAGCCGATCCAACACCATTCATAATGAGAGTAAGAAAATCATCCTCGTCAGCTAGTTTCCCGTGAGTGCGAGATTATCATAAATACTGGTCATCTTATCGACGTACTCCATAATAGACGAGTTCCCTCTCTTTGTGGTTTGTAATAGATTTTTCAATTGTAAGATCCGTGTCTTCGAGTGCGAAGCATATCATTTTTCAAGCGATTTCTATACATCGTTGGAGGTACCAAACCTTGCCACAGCAGAAAGAACTGTGGGTGTCAAGGTGGCATTGATACAACTAAGAATCAGATTGTCTTGTTGCTGCCACAAAGTATATTTGGGATTGAGAGTTTCATTCCCATTTGCATCAACAAGAAACTTTTCTGGAAAAGGCTTTGTTCCATCAACATAGCCAAGTAAATTGAGACTTCTAAGAACTGGTAAAAATTGAGCCAACCATAGAGTATAGTTGGTTCTATCTAGCTTGATTGAAACCAGATGAGAGATATTAGAGATGGATAATGTAGAAGCCATGAGAAGAAAAAAAAAAAAAAATAATCCCAAAGTCAGTGGACGTTGGGCTCTGATACCATGAAATAATTAGGTGAATTGCCTTTCATTGATATGATGATCATATATATATATACAATATGAATCAATGTGAAATAGTAAACAAATCTCCACATCTAAGGAGCTGTTACAAAGAATCAAAATTCAAAAATAAATCAGTTACAAATCTTAATGATTTGCTTAATCAAGAAGAGTTACTCTCAGGCTGAAATTATGGGGCAATTACACTGTTATGTTTATCATATATAGCTCAACTTGTTCAGACACCATATAAATTGCAAATGATATTTGAACGTACGCAAATATCCGAACTTTGACCAGGTAAATTATGTTTTATAAAGTAGAAACAAAAGTGTGGGATTTGTAACTATTGAAATTCTTCAACTTTGTTATATAAAAAATAAAAAATAAAAAATCTTCAAATTGTATAAGAATGGTGTTTAGTTTTTATTGTAGTTCCTACCCATTGGCTGGACTGTTGCTATATTTTGCAAAATATGGAGTAAATTTGTTCTTGCAAGGGAAAGTTAAAAAGAAGAAAAGGTTGAAGTTGATGAATTTTGGAAACCAAAAGGAAAAGGTGAGAGGATTTAATTCTACAGCAAGTCACTATGACGTCCAAGCCCCCACCATCAACACAAGATTGCAGGGTTTTGCGCTTCAAAACGGCACCGTTTTAATGCGGTGTTGAACTTTCACTACAACAGTTATGGCTTTCACTAGCGTTCAAAAACGTTGGTGAAAGTCTAAAAAAACGATGGTAATTCAATTACCGGCGTTTTACCAGCGTCTTTGAAAAAGCGCTAGTGATTCCAAAGTCGGTAGGCCTTTACCAGTGCTTTTTCAAAAGCACTAGAGCGCTGGTAAAAACCTTATACTAGCACTTCTTAAAAAAGCGCTGCTAAAGTGTTATTTTATGTTTTTTTTTTTTTTTTTTTCTTTTCCCTTTATTGTTTTTGGAAAAATATCTTTACGGCTGCTAAATGTCATCCAATATAACACAAGTTGGCAATATGAAAGTACCATCCAAATTGTTTTTACATAATACAGCCAATATGAAAAATACCATCGAAATTGTCTACTAATAGATAAAGCTGGTAAATGTCAACCAAAAAGGCAAAATGTCTACTAATACAACCATAAGTTAACTTGCCAATGTGAAAATACTATCCAAATTGTCTAGATAAAACTACTAAATGTCACACAAAAAGAATTAAGAATTTTTGACAAATGTAGTACAAGATTTTCAAAAAGAACCCATCCAAGGCGAAGGAAATTTAGAAAGCACAGCCACGACCCCATCTTCCACTTCAACTTCAACAACTCTTCTTGCCCATTTGAATTGAATTACCCTATATTTTTTATAAATTCATTAAGCGCACATTATAATAAATGAAAATTTAACATATAAGAGAAATTAAAAGTTCATAACCTTAACTAAATTGGCATCATGACTAGAAAATGAATTTGGAGATACTTTAGGAGCATTTAAAGAATCAAAACCCTTCAAAATAACAAAACAAAATACATAAAATCTTGGCATAAGTAAACGTATATTTAATAAAGAGTAAAACTAATAATAAATATACATGTCCACTACAATTTTGTTGTTGCATCTATATTCGCATAGCCACTTGTTGTTATAAATTTTCCAACTTGTCATATAGTTGGCTTGTAAATTTTCCAACTTGTCGTCATAGTCAGCTTACATTTTTGAAATGGTCTCCTGCAACTCTACACGTGTAGCACGTGCCTCCTCATCAGATTTTTTGACATTATTAATCAGTTCAGCTTTACTATGAGAGGGCCCTAAACATCGCTTCGTGTAGGCCCCAAACCAAGCATCTGCACACAACCAGTTCTCTTCTCCCCTCACAACAGAGAACAAATCATTGGAACTGCCAATAGTCGAGTCAAAGTAACTTTTTTGAAGATCTTTTATGCTTTCCTACAAAAAAAAAAAAAAAGGAAATATATTAAAATAGTGAAAATCCAGTGCATTTAACAATAAAACTGTACATGCATATAAAGTTCAACCATGGGGGAAAATCACCTCAAGTGAAATAGTGTGTCATTTACTCCATTTTGAAATGAGTGGTTCAGAAATAGCCACGTCACCCATATTTGGGATGCATAGTAGGAAAATATTGGGATGCATAGTCGGAAAATGTTGGGATACACCTTACGAAAATGTTGGGATGTACTTTTACTTAAAAAAATGGAGGAAATAGACTACTGTGTAACTGGATGTCATCCTTGTCCGTTCAACCATAGCTAGCGAAATAGGTTTCTAGCAACACTCGAGCAGAAAAGGAATAGGGTAAGCAAATTCAAGTCAATACAATTTAGTACAATTAACTATATATAAAGGGAAGTAATTAATGGAGGCACATCATATAATTTAGTGCGTCTTCTATTTGGCAATTGAAATGAATTTATGAGAAAAACGGAGGAAACTAAAACATAACAATAATATGGTACCGATAAGCTTGTTGTTTAACAAAGTGAAATAGTCGTGTCTGGCAACAATTAAAGTCTTGTTGTTTAACTGAGTAATGAAATGTGAAAGTAGTTCCTTCAATTGAAATTGTGTAAAGCTGTTAATTATTTTCTTTCTTTATATATATATATATATATCAAATCGGTTTAGGTGCCTTTGCATTTATTGTTTGTGGTGTTTTGTGAAGCATTAGCTATATTTTTGTTCTCTCCTTGCAAGTAGAAATTCCAGATTAATTATTTGGTTGTTTTTGCCTGTAGGCAGACCAGTGTCATGATAGATAATTTTTAGTGATTCTTTCTTGGTCCCTTCAGCATGCTTCTTGCTGGGTATGCTTTAATTCTAGCTACCAAAATGTAAAGAACACATAGAAGTATTAAAGACTGAAAGGATTTTATATACAACTAATAATATGCCAACTTGATAGTGCCTTTTACTTTCTCGTGTCTTTGGGACTTGCAGATTGAGAATTTAATGGCCGAGGATTTGTTTTCTGAATTTCTTAACAAAGAAGTTGCTTGCGAGTGTTTGAAAGGTTTATGCCGATATGTGGAATTAAATGGAATGGAGCTTGCCTAAGTAGGAAGAACAAACAGTTTGCAATTATTTTTATTAGATTAAGGTAATAAAATAGAATATGTGGGGGAATATTTGAATCAGTAACATCACTAGAGAAAATTGGTTCATTCATTTTGAATTGTTGAACTAGAAAATGGAGTATTTCTAACAATCTTATGGCTGTTATCTTCAAAATTAGTTTTAACCATCTCATTTTCTTGATGAACATTGCACTGTAATTTGGCAACTTTCTATGAGGACACCGGTCATCTCATGTGCCCTAAATCTAGTTGTCTGTAATGTTAGACCCTTTGTTCACATAGTTTTTTTTTTTAATATACATATACATATATATAGAAGAAAATAAAAAAAACTTGGTGCGATTAACATTTATGACCATGTCGTCTTTGTTATTTGGAGCACTTCTTTGGCAAAAAGGAAAGCAAATGTAAGCCGTCATTAATTTTTCGTATCCAACTGATTTTCATATTAATGTCAGGGTGCGTTTTAGGGGGATAAAAGGGTAGTCAAATTTTATATAATTAATAATCAGTTAGTTAAACAAAATAAATAATAAGAAGATGTATCTTCCAAAAATCCAAGATGACACAGACCAGTTCTTCAAGCAGGTACAACACAGCATTCCCATGCATTTGACACCGACACTACATACACTGGCAACACAACATAAAAGATGAATTACACACATTCAAGTTGTAAATCAATCACTCAACTAAAAGTTGTGCATCAATCACTCAATATAAATTGTATTAAAGTAGGGTCCTAAGCTTGGCAGATTTCTAATCCAATTCAAAATTTTTTTTTTTCTTTCTTTTTTCATGCCCAGATTCAAATTTTCTTGTAGACATAATTGACAAAAAAAAAGAAAAAAAAAGAAAAGAAAAAGAAATAGAAGTTATAGAAATAAAAAATATATATTTGTTTTGCTGAAATAAAATGTAGAATACGGCAATTACCTCAAAATGCAATGCAAATTTTGTTACTTTATATTGTAATATATATATATATATATATATATATATATATATAAGATGATAAAAAATTGCACCAAATAGGATTTAGTTTGTAAAACAAGAATTACAGAGCTTGATTAGTTGATTTAGGAAAAAAAAATATAATAAATTAATTAATTAATTAAAACAAAAGCAGTTGCAGAGAGGGGGGGACTGAAGCTTGCGAAAGGCAAACCCAAACTGGAACAACGGGCGATGAAAACTGAAAGATATGGGTTTTGATTTTGTGAAGAATCTGAAATGATATATAATTACATATAAATACGCAGACATATATACTTATATCCACATTGCTTGCTAAGGTTGTGAACTGAGGTCTATAGACTCTATAGATATATGATTATACTTATAGTCAGTCAGATTGGTATACAGATTACAGACACTTGTGATATTATGGGTAGTACCAAAGGATGTGTTCCAAATCAGGGCATGAGAAGTCCCCCCCCCCCCCCCAAAAAAAAAAAAACAGAAAAAAAAAGAAGAAGAGAAAAGTAAAGAAAAATTTTAAAGTCCAAAACAAAAAAGTTCAAACAATCAAACATAGGAAGTTAGGAGCACACCTTGTTTAGACTTCAAAAAGCTGTAAGGAGGAGGCAAGGAGCTATCCAAGGCTTTCGCGATGTCCAGTGGTCGGGGGCAAGGAGCTAGGGCTTTCGTGAAGAGAGTCGTCTGCCGACTCTGCACAAACAAAGCTAGGGCTTTGTAACTTTGTTATATAGTGTTTCCTACTAGTGGACGTTGACAAATATGGTAAATTCATAATTTAAATTAAAAAAAATATACACAGGTAATCAAAATTAGAAGGCGAACAGTTACTAACCTAAAAAAATTCTCGTCTGATCTATTAGTGTAGACGAGGTTTTGGAAACCCCTAACAACGACTCTTTCTCTCTCTATGTGTGCAGTAGCAATGACTTTGTCTCTCTCAACCAAGCCACCAGTTTTAGAGCCTTGGTTTCTGATTAAAATTCTGGTTTTGGAACGCTAACCGGTGATGGAAGGAGAGAGAGTTGTGATGACCGGTGATGGAAGGAGAGAGAGCTGTGATGGAAAACAAAATGAATTACAAGATTGTTATAATGACCGGTGATGGAAGGAGAGAGAGCTGTGATGACCGGTGACGAAAGAGCCAGACCAGTGATGGAAGGAGAGAGAGTGGCTGAAGGAGTTAGGGCTCTTGCAAAATGAATTGGGAAAGTGGGATACAGTGTTAATTGCCCCCGAAACGACGTAGTTTAGGGCCTAAAATCAACGAGAGAAAAAATGGAGGGAAGGGAGAAAAAAACAAAAAAAGAGGGAAGGGAAAAAGGAATGAAAGGGCTATTACCAGCGTTCTTAAAATAGCGCCGGTACTATTACCAGCGTTCTTAAAAGAGCGCCGGTACTATTACCAGCGTTCCTAAAAAGTGCGTTGGTGCTATTTCACCTATACCAGCACTCCTAAACCCCAATTTATTGTAGTGCATGTTTGCGCTGTGCACCAAAACACCATTGTTTCCATACACAAGATCCCTCTAGGGGATGTGTTTTCCATTTGACGAATGATCTCATGAGCATCATTCTCAAACTTGTCTTCAAATGTATGATACAATTCATACTCTATTAGCAAAGAGAAATATCTAGAATGGCCTTAGCAAAGAGAAATATCTAGAATGGCCAATCACTAACACCCCCCCCCCCCCCCCCCCCCTCCTCTTCTTTTTTTTGCTTTTTTATTTTTTATTTTTAAACCTGACTCCAAACGCAAATTTGTCTTCAAATGCATGATACAATTCATACTCCATTAGCAAAGTGAAATATCTAGTTGGCAAGAAAATGATTGTATTTTCTACATTTTGTTTTTAAATGATGAGCATTGACTAGACTCATTTTCAACTATTGGACAGCAGGCTGCTCAATATAATATAAAAGTGGTTTTTTAATATCTAATATATAGTCAATCTAATTAATCTTTCTTGTCATATAATTGATCTTAGAGTTATACAACTTATATGTAACGACCCTAGTTGATGCCAAGAATTTTACAAAAAATTCGGCATAACCTCCCCTAAAAATAGGCCTACCATACCCTGTTTAAATTCATTTTTTTACCTATCATGGCTCAAATTCCGAATTCACGGCAACAGTATATGATCATACACAATCAAATAACACCGATAATTATTTTAACTAAAATTATCCTTCCCATTCATCAACAAGGTTTCATGACAAAGTTTTGCAAAATATACATATATACCTTTATACTTTTAGTGCTTTGCAAAAATAATAGGAAATATACAAAAGACACAAAAGTGAGCTTCTAGTATCGCTCAAGCTTGAGGTGGGTTGTCGTCCACCGATTCTTTTCCAAGACCTGAAAAAAAATGTATAAATAGTAGGGTGAGCTATATGCTCAGTAGGTGACACTTAAGACACAAATCTTGTGTCCTTGTGAATTCAAGCAAAGCATAGGCCAATGGGAGATAGGGATCATACAACGTAGGGGATCAAATACAACATACAAGTCAATTCCAAGTATAAACAATGCAATGCAATGAAATGACATGCAATGCATGTCAATGATACTCCCCATTTTCATTCTCAAAATCATCACTTTCAAACGTTAATACAGCCCGCCCTTTGGTAACCCCGCCGCGACACGAAAGGAGGATTGGCTAGTGTCCCTGACCCTTGGTAACCCCGCGGCGTCATTACGGGGCCCAGCTAGCTCAACCACGCTAGGGCGACTCCCTAGTCCCCTCTAGGCTATATTAACCTTCGGCCCGTTGGTAACCCCGCAGCGACCGGGTTTCGCATAAAACCATTTTATCAAAAACACTTCCCTGAAATTCCCCATATTTATTTCGAGAATAATTTCTCCCATTTCATGCAAACCCAATGGTATGTGCATGTATATATGTTCCATACATTCAATGTCATGGCATTTAAAATTTTCTATCATAAAATTAAACATTCAACATGTTCAACATCTCCCAAGTAATTATTAACACATTAAGATACAACAAAATACATTTAAGGATGTGCATGTATATATATATATGAGCTCAACATCATGAATTGGGAAATTTGGCGCAATTTAAATAAGCATACTCTCATACATCAATTTCAGCATGCTAGCACATAGTAAACATAGGAAATCAACAACTAAATATAATTTGCACATGAACCAACCATATTCAAGATCGTGAAAACCCTCTAGACATCATTAATACCATCATAGATATAATTAACTCTAAATTAAGCATATTTAATACAACATGGAGGTAAAATTCACAATAGAACAACACTAGAGTGGATTAAGATGCCCCTACCTCAAAATAGGCAAAACCCTAGAAATGGGTTTAAAATTTTGAGTTCCAAAGAAGGCTCAAAACTGGAAATTGCTTGCATCAACGCGTAGAGCTCGTCACACTCGTCGTTTTGCCTCAAACGGCACCTAAATCCGGCAAGCAATGAAGATGGAATCAAGGATTGAAGTTGAAAAAGAAAAAAGAAAAGAAAAAAGCAGAAGCAGCGAGAGAGAGAGATATGAGATGCCGAGAGAGAAAACAATTTGGAATTAAATGGGTCTGCAATGACCCTTATAACTCAAGTGGGCCCCACAGTTGAAAAGTCAAAAACTTTACATTCTCCCCAACTTTAAAAAAGATTTCGTCCCCGAAATCAAGACATACCTGGAGAAGAAAACAACGCTAGGTACTTGGACCGAACCTCCTGTTCGAGCTCCCAAGTAGCCTCCTCGACTCCGTGGTGTCTCTAAAGGACTTTCACCATTGGTATCGTCTTGTTCCTCAACACTTTCTGTTGTGCGTTAAGAATCTGAACTGGTCCTTCCTCGTAGGAAACATCCTCATCAATGTCCACATCAACCCAACTCAAAATGTGAGATGGATCTGGCTCGTACTTCCGTAACATCGATACATAGAAAACATTGTGGACCCTATCCAACTGTGGTGGTAAAGCAAGCCTATAGGCAACCTCTCCTACTCGGTCCAAAATCTCAAACGGTCCAATAAATCGTGGCGACAACTTGCCACTTTTCCCGAATCTCATCAATCCCTTCCGTGGAGAAACCCGTAGAAAAACATGGTCTCTCACCTCAAAGGATAACGGTCGTCTCCGCTTATCTGCATAGCTCTTCTGTCGGCTCTGAGCTGTAAGTAACCTCTGTCTTATCAACTTAATCTTCTCAGTAGTCTCGAGTACAATGTCGGGTCCTAAGGCGGCTGTCTCACCTACCTCAGTCCAACAAACAGGAGACCTACAAGGTCTACCATACAACGCCTCAAATGGAGCCATCTGGATGCTCGCCTGATAACTGTTGTTGTAGGCAAACTCAATAAGTGGAAGGTGATCCTCCCAACTACCTCCCAAATCAAGTACATATGCCCGAAGCATATCCTCCAAAATCTGGATAGTACGCTCTGACTAACCGTCCGTCTGTGGATGGAATGCCGTACTAAGATGCAACGCTGAACCAAACACTACTTGAAGTCCTTCCCAGAACTTCGAAGTGAACTTAGCATCCCTATCTGACACAATGGTTACAGGAACTCCATGCAACCTTACAATCTCCTTCACATAAAGAACACCAAGCTTCTCTGCATCATCTGTTGCCTTAATAGGCAAAAAGTGAGCCGTCTTGGTCAATCTGTCAATGATGACCCATACGGCCTCATTGCCCCTCCGTGACCTTAGAAAACCTGTCACAAAATCCATAGCAATATGCTCCCATTTCCATTGCGCTACAGGTAATGGTTGCAACAAACCAGCTGGCCTCTGATGCTCGGCCTTCACCTGCTGACAGGTAAGGCATCTAGCCACAAACTGTGCAACATCATTCTTCATCCCGCTCCACCAATACTGACGTCTCAAATTGTGATACATTTTAGTACCACCTGGATGAACTGCAAAACGGGAAGTGTGAAACTCCCGTAGGACATCCTCACGACAAACTGTGGGAACCACCAACAAACCCCTGAACCGTAGACCCCCATCTGCATGCAAGGCCCAATCATTCACTGTCTCACCACTAGAGATCAAAGCGTGGATGGCATCTAAGTCCGGGTCCTGTCTCTGTGACTCAATCACTCGTACAACAAGAGTAGGTTGAGCCACAAGACTAAATAAGAATGCCGACTCACTGCAACCATCATCATCACAACACTGTAATCCTATCTCTGCCAGATCTTCAAGCATCTTCCATTTCCGAATAGCTAAACTGGCCAAAGTTCCACGAGATTTTCGGCTTAAGGCATCAGCTACAACATTTGCCTTGCCCGGATGATACTGCAAATCAAAGTTGTAATCTTCCAAGTACTCAACCCATCGTCTCTGTCTGTTGTTCAAGTCCTTTTGGGAGAAAAGGTACTTGAGACTTTTGTGATCTGAAAATACCTCGAATCTCTCACCATACAAGTAGTGTCTCCAACACTTCAAGGCAAACACAACTGCCGCTAACTCCAGATCATGAGTAGGGTAGTTAAGCTCGTTAGTCTTCAACTATCGAAACCCATAAGCCACTACTCTACCATCCTGCATCAACACACATCCCAACCCGTCACGTGAAGCATCACAATAGATCACATAACCCAAGCCACGCTCAGGTATCACCAACACTGGAGCTGTAGTCAATCTCGTCTTCAACTCCTGAAAAGATGAATCACAGGCCTCATTCCAGACAAACTTGACCCCTTTCCGGGTCAAACGGGTCATAGGAGCTGCCAAACAGGAGAAATCCTTCACAAATCTCCGATAGTAACCCGTTAAACCAAGAAAACTGCGGATCTCAAACACATTCTTGGGTTGCTCCAAAGTCAAAACTGCTTCAACCTTTGATGGATCAACTGATACTCCACCTTCTGAAACAACATGCCCTAAAAACTTCACCTCCTGTAGCCAAAACTCACATTTATCGTATTTGGCATACAATCGGTGTTCCCGCAAAATCTGTAAAACAATACTCAAATGGACCTCGTGATCTTCCCGAGTCCGTGAGTACACAAGAATGTCATCCACGAAAACTACCACAAACTGGTCCAAGTAATCGTGAAAGACGCGGTTCATCAAGTCCATGAATGCCGCTGGCGCATTAGTCAAGCCAAAAGGCATAACAAGGAACTCATAGTGTCCATACCGTGTACGAAATGCTGTCTTCGGGATATCCTCATCCCTAACCCGCAACTGATAATAGCCAGACCTCAAGTCAATCTTCGAGAAACAACTGGCTCCCCTCAACTGATCAAATAAATCATCTATCCTTGGCAAAGGATACTTGTTCTTGATGGTG